TTCTCCCTGCTGACTCCGTTCAGCTCCTGGTCCTGTCAGCCCAGCTGCAAACTGGTCCTCCCAGCTGCAAACGACCCCCACAAGCTGGTCCCCTATCAACCCAGCTGCAAACTGGTCCCCCCAAACTGGTCCGCTATCAGTCTAGCTGCAAACTGGTCCTTGCAGTTGCAAACTGGTCCCCTCAAACTAGTCCCCTATCAGCCCAGCTGCAAACTGGTCCTTGCAGTTGCAAACTGGTCCCCTCAAACTAGTCCCCCATCAGCCCAGCTGCAAACTGGTCCTTGCAGTTGCAAACAGGGCCCCACAAACTGGTCCCCTATTAGCTCAGCTGCAAATCTGTCCTCCCAGCTGCAAACTGGTCCCCTATCAGCCCAGCTCCTGGTCTGCCTTGCTCCCAGCCTCAGCTGACTCCCCGCTGGCCCGGTGCTTTCAGCTGGTATAGCTCTTGGCCCGTCCTGTTTCAAAGCCCGGGGAGGAGGGAGAGTTCAACGCCTGCCCTCGGTCGCTCTCTCCGGACGAGTGCATGCTCTGAGGTCCTTGAGGAGGGATACCCCTGCTCTCCCACCCAGGCAGGGACCCAGCCGGGGAGAGGACTGGCCAGGGCTGGGGTGGGGCCGCTGAACCGGGCGCTGTCCGGAGTGGGATTCGGTGCCCGTTTCTATCCCAGCAGCTGGCCCCAGAGCGCAGCAGCAGGCGGAAGGAGGCTGAGAGCCTTTGCCAAATGTTAGTCGCACTTGGCAGGTCACACTCCCCTCGCCCTGCCAGGCTGTGAGGTCAGCCGTTGCAAAGGCTGGAGCAGGGGCCTGGATTCTGCAGTCTAAGATGGAGCGCAAACAAATATAACCTCATTGCAGCGAGTGAAAAGCAGTCCGCGGGGCTGTGAAATAGGAGCTTCGTGACCAGGAGCAGCCAACAGGCAGCAGCAGGGCAGAGCCGGGGCGAGCTTGTTGGGTGGCACATGGAGACCGTGAAAAAGAAGAGGGTCGTTAACACTCGTGGAATGAGTTGCTTAGTAGGGATCAGGTAGAGGATAACCAGCTATGAAGTCGAGTGAGTCTCTCATTGCTGCCTGGTTAGAAATGTGAGGATGGGGGGCAGGAAGGGAGCCCAGGCCTGCGTCTGGGCTCTGGGTTCATGGAGGAGTGGAGGAGCCTTAGAAAAGGCTTGGAGAAAGGCAGCCAACACAATCAGGGGGCTGTTGCCAGACCAGGAGAGACTAAACACACTTAGGGCTCTTCTGTCTGGAAAGGAGGGGGCCGGGGGGTCTATAAAAGCGCCAAGGGGTGGACACGGGGAGCAGGGACCTGTTGTTCACCAAGTCCCGGAGCACTAGAAAGAGGGGGCACCGCTGAAATCAGCAGGTGACAGGCTTAAAACGAACAAGAGAAAGAACTTTTTAATGCAAAGCGGAGTTAACTGGTGGAACTCATTGCCACAGGAGGTGAGGGGTCTCACTGGTTTGTGTGCGTGTCCCCTCTGGGCCTGGTCCCCGGGGGGCTCGGGGTGTGTCAGGCCCAGCCGGCAGGGCCCGACTCTGATTCAAGCTGCAGCCCCGCAGGCCAGTAGCGCTGGAGGTCTCTGCATCGGTATATAGCTTGCAGCCACTGCCAGCGGCACCGCATCCAGCTGTGACGGGCACGCGGTGAATGGGGCTGCCGGCTCGGGGGCGACGGGGGCTGGCTGTCTTGCCCCCAGGGCTGTGCTAGTGCGGGGTGGGTGGAAATCTGCACGATGTGTCGGCTTGCACAGCTAGTGCACAGAGAGAGCAGCATGTCCGCACACCAAGGGGTAACAGGCTCTATATCCATGGCAGTGACCTTGGGCAGGACGATGAGGCCCCCCATGCCCCCATGGATATTTTGCTAGGAGCTGGCTGCAGCCGCAGCTGCGGGGAGCAGCTGGAAAGGGTCCGGTCCCCCCGGCTGGGAACTCGCTGGCTCTTCTTTCAACTCGGGATACTAAGTGAAACCAGGTTTAGCTTCCCTGTCTGGGCCAGGCACTGCGTCAGCGCAAAGCCCTTCCTGCTAGGAGAAACTCCAGCCGTCCGGCAGCGGAGAGACAAGTCCCTTTCCTTGCCATGCACCCGGGGTGGCGCTGGGAGAGATCAGGGAGCAGAGGGAGCAAGTGGGGCCCGCTGGGTGTTCCCCTCTGGTTCTCCCAGGGGAGCCCCCCCGGGCTTGGCAGCCTCTGCAAAGCAGCTTTGGGCAGAGCAGGAATCCAAGGGGGTGCAAATGCACCACTGCACCCCCCTGGATCCACCCCTGCACACTGGGGATGGAGACTCTCTGTCAAACTCCTCAGCCGGGCAGGCTGGATGAGTGCTACGTGCCCGGATCAGGCCCACGGACCCCCTCCACACGACGGATCCTCTGCATGTGGCATCTCCTCTGCAGAGAGTTGCGTTCGGGCTTTTAAAGCCAGGCCCAGCGTGGCTGCGGGTGAGGATTTCTTCGGGGGATCTCTCGTTGCACCCAGTGCTGAGCTGATGTAGGGTCAGGCACGCACAGCATTGTCCGCCGGGTCGTTCGGGGAGGGGGTGGCGGTGGGTGGGCAGGACAGAGCAGCCTCTCGGGAGGGGGTCTCTGATGTCTGGGAGAGGTGTATCCCTGCATTAGTGCCCCCCGTGGAGCCCGGGCAATGCCAAGACCTTGGTGCACACTTAGCACACGCCAGGGGTGCAGCACAGACCCATTCACAGTGATGAAGTGCAAGGTCCAGACACCGAGACTTAGCTCCCAGGCATGCAGAGAGAGTCCAGCGGGGAGGACCTTTACGGTGGATGCGGCACAGGCAGCCTCTTTCTGGTCCTGGCGGGTTCCCTCCATGGCAGCAGTGGGCAAGGGGCTGGCCTGCCACGGGACTGCCCGGCCTGAACAGGCCCCCGCCGAGAGCATCTTCCACGGCACGGCCACCCCAGCCATCCAAGGAGGCTGTGGGGGGGTCGCAGGCTGCTTGCAGGGGCTGGACGGGCCTCGGGGGGGGTTCAAGACCAAGACGGGCGGTCTGGGAGGTCCAGCCAGGGAGGTCTGGATCCCTGCCCCAAACCCAGCTGCTTTGCACTGCCCTCTGCCTCCTTCACTCACCCCTCTTGTCCCCCTGCCTGTCTCCCCTGCAGGGCCCATGGAGGCCGCGGAGCACACGTCTCTCCCCGAGCAAGCCCCCGTGGCCATCAGGAGGCTCCTGGAAGCTTTGGAGAAACAAGGTAGGTCGTGCCCCGCATTGCACCCCCCTCCCCGGCACGACCCGTCCATGCTCCAGGACACCCGGGGTTTGCTAAGCACCGGTGGCCAGAACGACGGGGTCTGCAGCCATCCCAGACACCCGGCACCAGCGCCGGCTGAGCCAGTCCACGGGCACGGGTGGGAAACGGAGGTGCCCACGCCAGACACGCTTGAGGCTTGCTTGTCAGCCCAGCGCTGCATTGTCCAGGCTGGACCCGGCTTGGGCCCGGCCCCCAGTGCCACCCCCAGTCTGGGCACCTCGTACGGGGCTGCCGCGACCGAGTCGGCCAGGGCAGGGGGCAGGTTTCCGTGCTCTCGGGTCACAGGGATGCTCCTGGGAGAGAAGCCACTGTCCCGGCAGCCCCTCTTGCTGGGGGGAGCCACGGGGTCTCTGCAGTGGGGGCACCATGCTCTCACACATGCGTGGGCATGACACATGTGCGCGACACACAAAATTAGGTACTGCTGTGTCTTGCCGGCAGAGGGCATCACTCACATGTGCCTGCGCACACACCTGCACACGCACAATGGGCAGTGCCAAGTCTCGAGCAGGGGCACCAGGCGCACACAGGCACACATGTACACAACATGTGTGTGCAGCACACACAAAATTAGGTAGTGCTGCATCTCTCTCCAGCAGAGGGCGCCTCTCTTTCTCTGTCACACACACACACATATACAATCAGTCACACTTGTGCATACGCATGCACATACAGGCAGTGCTGAATCCCTTCAGCAGAGGGCACCACTCACACACACACATGCACGCGCACGCACACACACACATACAATCATGCTTGCACATGCAGAGGCAGTGCTGAATCTCTCCCCCCACACACACACACACACACAATCATGGTTGTGCATGTGTGTGTGTGTGTGCGCACTCACGCACATGGGCACATACACAAATGCATATGCATACACAATAGGCAGTGCCGAATCTCTCCAGAAGAGGGCACTGCGCACCCACACATATGCACACACACAAACACGGGTGCGTACACGCACGCGCACACATACACACAATCTCTGCTGAATCTCTTCAGCAGGCAGCACCACACATTCACACACACACAAACATACGCACAGTCACGCTCGTTTGTGTGTGCACACACACATACACTTACACGTGCACACACACACCATTAGGCAGTAGTGAATCTCTCCAGCAGAAAGCACCACACACACACACATACACACACACTCCTGATACACACACACACACCAGTGCATGCGTGCGCGCGCGCACACACACACTATGTAGTGCTGAATCTCTTCAGCAGGGGGCACAACACACACGTGCATGTATGGGCAGGATACCTCTACTCAACACACGCACACCCAACATTAGGCAGTGCTGTATCTCTCCAGCAGCAGACACCACTCTCACAAGCTCACACACTCACACACTCACAAAACGGGAAGTGCTGAGTCTCTCCGGCAGGGGGCACCCCACACCCACACACACCCACACACACACACACACACACACACACACACACACACACACACACACACACACACACACACACACACACACACAGAATTGCACACACCCAACTCTCACGGCTCTTGGGAGGGGCAGGGACCCCCAAAGCGAGAGCCCCGCCGTGCTCAGCCCGGGGCCAATCCTGCTGCATGCAAGGGCAGGGGCACAAGGCTGACGCTCTGCTCCCGGCTCTCCCCCAAGGTGTCGAGAGCGAGGCCCTGTACCGATCCCTGCCCGGCGCCGCCGGCCACCCCGAGCTCCGGCAGGCCCTGCTGACGGGTAAGTCGCCATTGCGTGTGGGTGCACACGCATGACACACAGAAGCACCTGCACACACGTGACACACTTGGGATTTCCGCCCTTATTTCCACCTGTGTGAGTCCAGCAGTAGCAGGTGCTGGGTGCAGGGGGACACCTGCCCTTTATCCCCCACCCCAGATACCTTCTGCCCCCAGCTCCATCCTTGTCCCTCGGCGGGACCCTGAGTCCAGCTGTGATGCCCCCAAATCCATGCACCAGCCAGCGAACCTGCAGACCATGCTGGGGTGGGGGTGGCTGTGGCCCACCCTCTCTTGCTGCAAGCAGGGCAGGTTCGTCCCCCCTTCCTTGGGAGAGGCGAGGATGGGACTGTGGCCAACCAGGGGCTGGGAGCTGGTAATACTGGGGTGCAATTCAGCCCATCTGGGCATATGCAGGGGATGGGGGAGTGCTTCACCTGTGCCCATTACCCAGGTGACAGCACCGTGACACCAGCCAGCACCCAGCCCTGGGCATCCCCAGCTGGGTCTGGTATGCAGGGCGTGGCGGTGCTTGCACCTGGGTCCCGCTGGGAGCCCAGAGGACGTGGCCAGGGGGGATCCAGCCACCACATGCCTCATGGCATGGCCCCCCCGGCCGTGTTGCCATGGCAAGGAGCCGGATGGAAGAGCTATATAAAGCAGCATGAGCTCATCGCGGCTGGGAACCGGGTCCCGGGGGTGGTGTGGGGGCCCGGTAGAGCCTCACGTGTCGTGGCAGTGAGGGAGGAGAGGAGTGGGGGTGTCTGGTGCGGGGGGGTCAAGAATAGGGACTGGTGCCACAGGAGAGTTTTGCACCTCTCTGCTTGGCTCCTGTATCTGTGTGCTGGCCCAGGTGTGTGTATGTGCGCCTGTGCATGTGTGTGTGCATGCATGTGCATGTGCATTCATCCCTGCTTAGACCAAAGAACTGCAAAGGAAATAAGGAGAAAGGATGGAGATAAAGTGCATTATATATTTTCCCCTGGGCACTGAGACGAGCGTGTGTTTCCGAGCTGTGTTTTAGCCACGGTACTAGGCAGGTGGGGATGGGGGCAGCGGGGTCTTGTGCAGGATCTGGGAGAGTCCCCTGTGTGCACTGGTCCCCAGCCCAGTCCAAGCAGGACCAGACCCTACCAGGGCTCCAGGCAGCACTGTCCAGGGAAGGATGCTAAGAGAGCCCAGCTCCCAAGGGAGCGATGTGTTGTGTGGGCCTCTTCTCCAGCACAAAAATCAGAGCTTCATAGACAATGAGGGTTGAAGGGACCACAGGAGGTCACATCCAGTCCAACCCCCTGCTCCGAGCAGGACCAGCCCCAACTACATCATCCCAGACACGGCTTTGTCTACCAGGCCTTAAACACCTCCAAGGATGGAGACTGCACCACCTCTCTGGGGAGCCTGTTCCAGTGCTTTAATACCCAGAAGGTATACCCCCTTTCTGACCAAATACCTGCCTTCTGGGGCTGGTGTGAGCTACATCAGCTAGCCCAGGCTAGAGGGTGTGTCTTGTCCCTCTGCTCAGGGTCAAATCAATGCTGCATTTGGAGGTCAGGAAGGAATCGGACCCCATGCTCGGACTGGTACAGACTGGGGGGCTGTCCTCTGTGGCAGGGGCACAGCCTCTGCCTGGGCTCTCTCGGGTGCCTACTAATCCCCTTTGCAGCAGCAAGACGTTGGCTGTCGCAGTGCCCCTGCTTTCCCCGCGGCAGGTTCGGGTGCGATGCCTGGTGCTGTGTCAGAGTTGTCTCTAGTTTTGCTCAGAGGTTGGATAATCCAACAGCTCCCGGCTGTCGAGGCCGATCCCTCTGACCGTGACTCACGGCTCCTCTCATGCCGGAAGGGAGCCGCGGTAGCTGGAGGGGGCGGCTGGGGTCCGTAAAGGTTGCCGAGCTATTCCTGCCGCCGCGAGGGTGCGGGGGTGCCCGTGCCTGGCGGGGGGCAGAGCCGCTGGCTGGCAGTGAATCATGCTTTCCGGGGGCAGCTGAACAGAGCTGCAAAGTTGAATGGTCCTCAGGGGTGGAGAGTCTGCCCCACTTCTCCCCCGTCCTGCGGCATGGCTCATCAGCGCCGGGTCCTGTGCACAGATGAAATGCAGCCTGCTCCCGGGTCCCAGGGGGACAATGCATCTGCAGGCAGGAGAAGGGCTGGTGTTAGGGGAGCCCCGGGGTGGGCCGTGTCTGAATGCCCACTCCTGACAGCAGATCTCCTTGGGTGGGAGGAAGCATGGGCGGGGGGACACAAGCCCCCAGGATGGGGGTTGCACCCATCTTTGCAAAGCAGACGCTGCACCCCGGGACCTCGCTGGGGTCTTCGTGCTCCTGCTGCCTTGCTGTCCCCACTGCACTGGGCAGGGCTGGTGTGCTCGGGACCGTGGCATTGGGGTGTCACATCCACGGGACACGGCCTTGGAGAGCACAGAGTCGCAGGGCCACGAAGCAGCGACCCGCTGTGCCAGACCGGGTTGCAGCTTCCCCACCCCCTCCGCGCTCAGCCCGCGACTGGCCCTAGTGGCCCTCTGCACAGCGGGTCAAGTGCACGGCGCCTCGGTTTCCCAGAGGGGTCCCAGGGCTTTCAGATCTTGCTTAGCAGGAAACGGGGGATTTTTTTCCCTGGGAAATACCAGCTGTTTTCTGAAAACTGGACTCTCCCGCAGCCTCTGGCCCCCAGGAACCTGTATTGTGTTGCCCCCCACAGTAGATTTGGGGCTGAAAACTGGGTTTCCTAGAGAGAAAAACCTAAAGTTGTTGAGAAGGGGCCCTCTGCTCTCAACTTCCAGGGGGAGGAAGTTTCTGTGGAAAAGCTTCAACCCGCCGGATCCACACAGTCCAGTTGGGGCACTTGTACACGGGGCGAGTCGTCCATGTACACGTTGCGAACCTAGGAAGGGGCTTGGAGGGGGTCACCATGCTCAGGGCCCTGCCGAAGGGTAAGGCCACGGCCTGGCCGGCTGCAGGCAGAGATAGGCAAGCCTCTCTTGAGCGGGTAGATGCTGCCTTTGGGTCCCAGCAGAGCCGCCCAGCGTGGAGCACGCATCAGTGGCCCAGGACTGGTGCCCGAACGCAGCCTAAACGATACTGATGTGCCACGAGAGCAAGGAGGGCTCTGTCCCTCCCTTATATCCCATCGCCTCTGGCTCACGCCGTGACCTTGCCCACATCCCTTTGCCTCGCCAGGGGATCGCTCCCCTCCGTCTTCGTGTGACTCCCCTCCCCTGGAAACCGTCCCCCGAATGGGGATAATCTTCTCACCGGCATCGACGTGGGTGATTTCCCCGCTGTCTCTGCTCGAAGCGCAGCGGCTCAGGCAGTCAGGGAAGATGATGGGGTGCAGACAGGGCGGCGGCGGAACAATTTGGCCTGTCACAACGCGGAGGCGAGCTTTTTGATTGCTGTCATCAACAGCTTACGGCAATTACCCCGACAATAGAGGGCTAATGCTCCTCCACAATAGGCTGCCAGGGGGGAGCAACGCAAGGAGCTCAGAGTTAGCACTGCGAGTGGGGGAGGAAGGGCGCACGCTGGCATCCAGATCCTTGCAGACGGAGGAAGCCGGCCCATTGCAGCATCCCGCGGGCTGCCGGTTTTGGCATGGAGTATCACGGGTCAAGACGAAGTTGCAAAACCGTGTTTGGCTCCCGAGAGCCAACCCCCAGCTCCACTTTTTCCCCCGCAGCCTTTGCCAGGGAAGGGTCTTTAAATGGCAGGTATTTGGGCAGACTGTGGTGCAGCAAAACCGCGGGCGGCTGCAACCTGTCGCTTGCCTTCAATGGACGCTTGGAGCTTCTTGGAAGCAGCGGAGGACTGGGCTGGGGCTCGCCTATGGCACCATCAGTCGGGCAGAGGAGACTCTTCTGCAGTTGGCAGTATGGAGGCTAGGGCAAGCATTTAGCGGCTCTGTTGCCCCCACGGAGGTACCAGCAAGTGGGCCGGAGGGGACCTCCAGAGGTCACATCTAGTCCGAGCCCTCTAAGGCACATTTTCGATTGGAAAAATGTTTGTGCTGGGAAAAGTTCCGCCAAAATGCAAGACTTTTTGCAGGAAGCAAAGAGAAGGCCATGAAAAATACAGGCTTGGATCAAAATGAAACAATATTTTCATGGGGTTTCGGCTTCAAATCGGTCCTTTCAGGTGTTGGAAGCAGCCGTGTCCTGGTTTTCTACGTTCAGTTTGGGGATGTTTGGATTCTCCACTCTTCGCTTGGGTCCTTTTTTTCCACCCAGGAAAGAAGTCGAAGTTAAAAAGCAAGCAAATGAAGATAAATCCTCCTTTTCCAATTTTTTACCCTTTTTTTCCAACTGGAAAATGCTGAAGACATGTCAAATCTAGGAGAAATAAAAGTTGGCCTCTCCCGATACAACAGAAATGTGCATTTCAAAAAGTCCTTTGGAAAGGCAAGGCAATGGGGATGTTTATTTGAAAGCCCGCGAGAGGCAGACACGTGGGTAGGAAGCTGGGAAGTGCCCTGAGCGGGCAGGATCTCTGCTTTCTTTGAGTCCTGCTCACCCAAGAGTTGCCGGCTGGGGGATTATCCTCCATGCTGCGGATGGAGAGGCTGGGGAAGAGTCATCCCGATGACTGGCAGTCGGGGGCGTAACCCAGCGGTCCTGTCTTGGACTCCCGTGCCACAGATCCTGCTGCCTCCACGCAGGGCAACGTCCAGCCCTTTTGCCAGAGGTCGTGGAGAATTGCTGCCTACGGCCGAAGCAGGGCTAAGTCACCGCTCTTGGGGTCCTGAGAGATGTGGCTGGAGCACGCAGCAATGCCTTTATCACTACCATGCCAGAGCTCAAATGCACGAGGGAAAAGCCACACGGGACCATAATCTCCATCCCCAGGGGTGATTTTTGCAAATCCACTTGGCTGTACAAGCTGGGGGCCAACTGGTGGGGCAGCAGCTCTGCAGACAAGGACCTGGGGTGACAGTGTCCAAGAAGCTGGGCAGGAGCCAGCAGTGTGCCCGTGGTGCCAAGAAGGGTACCGGCATCCTAGGCTGCATTGGTAG